CTAGTGGCTCATGTTGGGTTTCAACTCTAGCCTACCCCAACTTGCTTGGGACTAAAAGGCTTTGTTGTTGTTGTTGTTGTTGTTGTTGTTGTTAAACTATACGTTCCAAAGGATAATTTACCACACGTCAAGAGATCCGTGGACTCTTGGTTTGCCAACATGTCATATTTTCCCTTCTGATGAGGATGGACCATCTATTAATGATTGTCCTGCTCTTATGATCCGGAGGTGTGATGCTAAAACCAATACGAGTTTTGTGGATGTTGTTACCTTCAATGTCACATTATGTGCCTTATAACCTTTCATGTATATTTTATCCATTGCTTTTAAAACTGGGCAGAACTATGTCAATGTTGTTATATGATGTTACATTCAAGCTGCATATTTTGTTGTACTATGAAAAACACTATGCTTTTGTAGTTGATACTGGAGCTTGGACCATACATTGAGGAGCTCAAGAAAACACATGGTGCCATTTCTGAATTTGTAAATCCCAAGTAATTTTTTCTAACCACTTGCTGTTAAGTACTTCTATTTATAGTGATTGATATTATGATATTAGTTTTTTCTTTGATCTTTGTTTTGTGTACAACTTCTTAATATGAATGTTTGTCCTTTGTTTAACCCCAGCCTCTGATCATTTTTGTCAATTTAGGTATACTGATTCGACCAAGACAGCATTTAAATCCTCCACTCGTCTAGAGTGCATGATGCAAGACTATCCAAAAACGTTGCCTCCCTCAGCAAAAGTTGGATTCACGGTAAGAGGCAGTTGATCATCCATTTAGTCTTAAGCATATGCATGATGCATCAGTTAACCAACTTTATCAGTTGTACCATTTGGATCAGTACCCTGAAAGAGTGCCATAGTTTCCCGCTTTCACTTTTCTTCTAGTCAATATAGCCTGTGGGTCTCCCAATCTTGCTATTTTACCAATGTGTTATCTTGTTTATGTGGTAGCTATAAGACAGCATTTACCAAAAAAAAAAAACTATAAGACAGCATAGGAATTCTATAGATTCTCTGCAGTGCCTTCACTCCAATTTATAATTAATGGGCGCTATCAGGAAATGAGAACTTGTAAATAGTTATCCACTTATCCTCACATGATATACTTTCTTAAAAAGGCAACCTGTTTTCTGTATTCTGTTAGTAATCCTAAGTGCTGCTCTACCTTTCAGAGAAAAGGGGAAAACACTACAATCACGGGAGAGTGGGTGTAATCAAATGATGTTCATTACATGTGTTATTTCTTACTCATAAGACATTCATGTTATTAACTATTATTTAGAATTTTTGCTGCATTTTTTCATGATTCATCCCTAATTATTGTATTGTATTGTATTCTTATTACCATGCCTTGATTTACTTAAATGCTAGGTGATGGCTACATGGCTTGCTTATGCTCCTGTGAAGAATAATCCTGAAGACGCAGCTAAAGTATGGTTCCTAGTTCCAATTCACTCTGAGATGATTTTCTCATTTTACTTCGTTAGAATTTTACCATTGATTGTGAAGCATTTATGCTAAGGGTACACAATCTTAATTGATAGGCCTGTTAATTGTTGGGTACTTATGTTGGACCTTTTCCTGTAGTAATGGTTGGATTTAACTATAGTTCCTCCATTCACCTCTAACGACACTATCAATATTTGTTTACGGAGAGTATGCATCAGCCTTGGCCATGCTTCGGTTACTTTAAAGCACCTGGCTTTTTCTTCACAGTTTTGCTTTCCTGTGGTGTTTATATATATATAATCATAAGATTTTTTATATGGCTTCTTGCAGGTTCCAAAAGGCAATCCTTATCATAGTGCAACCTCGGGAGAGATGGCAATTTACAAGGCGAACAGCCTTATCTTGAGAAAGGTGATTCCATTAGCATATTCCTTTGGCAAGGGCACACTGGCCAATGGCCATGGGCGTTCTCAAATTGTTTGTGTTCCAGCTCAACGAGCTCCTTTTCCTCCCTCTTTCCAGGCTGGTGCACAGATAGCTGACCCTGTTGTTGATACCTTCAACGGACAAGAGGTAGAGGTTTGGCCACGCATAACCTGGAGTCCACGGTGGGGTCTCACCTTCAAGAGTGTCAAGGAGAAAGTGCATGACAACTCTTCAGTTTCTCAGAGGTCAGCTTTGGTCATCAATGGTCAGAACGTCTTCCTTGAAGGCCTCTCGTTGGACGGCACTCTTATTGTCAATGCTGTCGATGAAGCAGAGGTAATACATAACATTGAGCACCGTTAACTCTCAGAGTCCTGGCATATATTACAGATACCTCCGTAGTTTGGTTATTACCTTAGCAACGAAATATTTTGCTCATACTCCAGCGGTTCATACCATGCATCCATGTCTGTTTGCAGGTTAAACTTACCAGTCATGTACAAAATAAAGGCTGGACTATCCAGCATGTTGATTACAAGGACACCTCGGAGAAGGAAGAGATCAGAATCCGTGGATTTAAGTTTGAGAAGGTTGAGCAACTAGAGGTGAACTACACCGAGCCAGGAAAGCATAGCTTGAGTGCATGAAACAAAGCATTCTTGATTTACTTGATTGACCTGAGTAGCTTCCTACCAACTGGAAATAGTTCACATCTGGATTGCCTCCTAGATTCTGGGAGGCCATTGGCAACATAGCTGAAACTGTTCTTCTCCTTCCCAAGTATAATAAGGAGCAAAGTGCTTCACTAATCAGTCAACATTCTTTATGTATATCTGTACCTGTATAGTACCCTCGTTCATAGCCAAACATTCTCTCCTCTTCAGTGTAATCAGAGCTGATTATTTATTTGGGGTCTGATGTTTATGTTACAATATTGAGTTTTAGAAAACTTGGCACTGAATCAAGTAAGTGTGGCAGTACGTAGTTAGTGTTATACTACATATTGCATCCTTTTTCTTTGGCACATAAACCATGGAATATCCTAGTGCTGCAGCATTCGCTAATTGTGATTATTTCATGAGAAAAAGGGAGAGCAATGGCTGTGCGCTTGTGTCGAGAAGAGTCTTTGCAACCCTTTTAGCGATTACTTTTTCCTTTTTTTTAAAAAAAAAGATCACTTTTGCCGTTTTCAATGGCCGTGGAAAGGAATCGTGGTGAGTGGTGATGAGTGAGTGCTGAGGCGACTAACGAGATGCCGTGAACGAAAGGAACAAATCTGGACCAGCGATCTCTATGTATACCTAAAACTAAAAGGTTAGGGAAAATGAACCATTGCTGTTCCCTGTTCGAGATTTGGAACGTGCATCTTTTAAATCGTATAAGTCCTGACAGTCGTCTTATATTACGTTATTTTTGTAAGGATGATGTTCGATGTCAAGTGCGGCATATGAGTATTATAAAGACTCTTTCTTAACCGGATGTTTTAAAGACCAACCTTCAATCTGATACTCTTTTTGCTAACCAAATTAGTATCGTTAGTTTTAACTCTTGCAGAGTGTATCAGCAAGAAACAGTCGGCATTTCTTTCAAGAAATAGCATGCATCGGACCTGGTTGTTATTTCAGCAATTACCAAGACCAGAGTAGGAAGGCAGCAGGACATCCACAGTGACATAGCTATCGTTTCTCAGATCCAAATGTTCAACATTGCAGAACCAGCATATCAGCACACAAAAACATCACTGAACAGATCAGGTGACCGAGTACAAAGCACAAGCTAGTAAAATTACAGTTCTGCGTGAATAATAACAGTGACAGGTCCAACAAGCAAGAGCAAACACGCCTGCCAAGCAAATATTTAGAATGCGGAAACTCTTTTACTGTGATAAGGAGACGTGGTGCACTGGCTCAAGCACGGCGATCAAATAACTTCTGAATCAGCACCGAGAGGGTACCAAATCCCATGCAATGCACCACATGTAGCTTTAGGACCACCTACACGAAATACCAATTTCCTTATGGAAAAATTTCAAATGAAGGTACATTTTGTTTGGGGTAAAAAATGAAGGTACATTATGAATAGAGTTATCTGAATCTTCGTATGACTGGCTCAAAGTTTGCAAATACAAGTTCATTCAGATGCACAAAAAAAGACAGAAATATCTATCTTCTCTGAAATATAACCAGAAATGCAGCTTCATGGAAAATAACATTTTCTTTAGAGTTCGAGAGAGCTAGAATGACCCACATGCTGACATGCCCATTAGCAGATACCACTACAGGTCTAGTGATGTAAAAAATGGCCATTAAAATCAAGTCTTCCTGAAAATAACTCATACACATGATTCTTCTTATTCATGCAAGGAACAAGCATCCAAAAAATACCCACGTTCACTGTCACAGATCCAACAATGTTCCTCCAAAAGAACTAGATCCTTTCAGAAGTGAAAGTATATATTAAACCCAATTGCTTCGTTCGCTGCAGCTGCTGCCATAAGCCGCTGCTAGTACAGTGTTTGCAGTTGCAGCTGCAGCAGCTAAAATAACCGTGCCGACCACCCTGAATAATAGGCCAATACCACTGTATAGCTATAGCTGATTCCTAGACACCAGAACTACTATTATAAACATGAAAGATGAAAGAGTTACAATGAGACCGTCAGTGGTGAGCCATTTGCACCAAGCAACAAACAAAACACTCCTATCCTTTTCACAATAATGTACAGTTGCAAGTTACAGGATAGTACTAGAAGCATGGAACGAACAAGGATAAAAGATTACCTTTATATATAGGACAAGATCTCACACCTAACTGAGCTATGCCTGATTCATCTTTCTAGGATTTGGTACTATCCACATGGGGGGTGGCCAGTTGGACCAAATCCGAGGACAAACAATTCTCACTGGTCAGATTATCCAAGTTAAAAACTCCCATCTCACGTTTTTCTTGCTTTCCAAAAGCCATACACTCACCATCATCAGTAAAGTAGATATGATTCCCCTTCAATTCTGGATATTCTTTGGCGCATAGACAGAGTGATTGGTTGAGCCCAAGAAACACCACATTGTCACCCAAACTACTTACTTCCACAAGCTTCTTTGCTGTCAAGTCCACTCTATATACTTTGAACACAACCTTTTCGTGAAGTGGCAGAGTCTAACTCTGGTTCTGCACCATCTTCTGATACGCTCCACCACGCCGGTTCTGCATCATATTCTGATGTAGCCCTGTCCGGTTCTGAGAAATACTCATCATCGTCTGGTGGGTCTAAGTCAGGTTCGTCACCAGGCACCTCTTCATCCTCCTCATCAGGATACTCAAGATCCCTGTGAATTTGCAGCAGATCACCACATGGAGCTTGGACAATGTAGATTCCACCAGGCCCGACCTTAAACCCATCCATGACAACTCGTGGTTTCAATGCAGGGTCACTTAGATCGTATGCGTGGATTTCACCATCAACCCGCATTGCATACAGTAGGCCATCGTCCTTAAAGACACAATCTGCATACATAACACCGTCTGGCAACCAAGTCCAGTGGTCATCCCCGGCTCTCGCGAACGAGAGCTGCCAGTACGGGTTATGGATGGGCACAACAGTGTAGGCTCCAGTGGACAGATCGTTGGACAAGAACGCCTTCTGAAAGACATAGTCCCGCAGCTTGTGAAGGCGAAAGACTGATGGCGTTGAGCGTTCTGTGTGGGTTGCAGTGTACCATGAGTACTCGTACAGGCGAACAGCACCGTGACAGTCGCGGAGTGGCTTGACCAGATCGATGGTGGTGACGGACTGGAGGTCGATCTGGTCACCCGTGATGGGGTTGAGGAGGTGGAGCTCGGACCTCCTGTCGACGGTGACGATCCAGCCGTAGGCCGAGCCGATGAGGTAGCAGCTGCGGATAGGAGGGTCCGGGAGAGCGAGCGTGTACGGCTTCTCCTCTGCGAGGCTGTAGAGGCCCGCGGCGCTCGCGCCGGAGGACGCGTTGGTGTAGAGAAGGCACGGCGTCTGCGGCCGGATCCGAGCCCCGAGCTGCGGCTCGTGACGCAGGGAGTCGCAGGTGTGGCGCTAGGAGGAGCAGACGCAGCCCGCGCGGAGGAGGTCTGGGACCTCGAGAGCCGCGAGTATCGTCGCTAGGACGTCCTCTGGCAGCTCCGCTCCTGACATCGAGTCGAGACCGACGTACGGAGTAGCTTTTTTTTGGTTCGTTTGTTCGTAGACGATGAACTACGTATCTGGATGAGGACAGAGTGGGGATGGATTGGATTGCCGCGCGCAGGGCAGCGACGGAGCCGCCGACGAAGAGCACGGGAACAGGAGCTGGGCCGGTGACGGCGGCGGCGCTTGGAGAGGGCAAAGGAAAACGGAAGAGGCAGGGACAGCACCGAGGACACCGGACGACCTTCGCAAGGACAAGGACGGCCCAGGAAGACGAAGCAACTGGAGGCCCGACTAACCACAACCAAAGCACAGGCAACCCACGCTGCCGGTCAACAGGAATAGGTGGATGACGACCCGGCGCATCGTGTCCAACATCCGATCTATTTTTAAAATATTAAGATGCAGCTTTTAAAACATACGTCTGAATGCATATAAAATACTTGAAACATGCGTCTGAAACACTTGCAAAAATACATGAAAAACACTTGAAAACCATTGCAAACATACGAAACATCCAGATAAAACACTTGCAACATATATATGAAAACAGATGCAACATTCAGATAACCACGCTTGCAACATGCGTTCAAAAAAACAGATAAAATGTTGAAAACGGAAGCTTGCAAAATATGGATATAACTATTGCAACATATGAGAACATCACAATCTACTTTTGCAACATCCGTATGAAACATTTGCAACATACTTATGAAACATCTAAAACACTTGAAACATATGCTTGCAACATGTATTTTTCACCCTTCTTCCGGACGATGCAGAGTAGAGCGGGGAACGGTAGGTTCCAGCCAGCCGGCGGGCGAGGATGGTGGTGCAACCTAGTAGCGGCCATACGCGCTGCGCCTGGCCTGGGCTCGGCCAGCGACACCTCCCTCTCCTGCGCGACCGTCGGTGAGCACGGTGGAGAGGGAGGAAGATGACTGCCCGCTCGGATGTGGTGGTGATGGAGGATGGAGGAGGGCGCGGGGGAGGCAGAGAGTGCAGCGCGGGGGAGCGGCATGGAGAGGAGCGAGGACAGGACGTAGAGGAAGGTCGCTAGGAGTGCCGGCTCTGCAGTCGGGTGCGGGCATCGCGGCTACAACGACAAGATGAAACCACGTACTGAGGCGAGGAGAAAGAGAAATGCGTTCGTTTTTATTTTTAGACGGACCGTGAGGAGAAGCAGACTAGGCTGGTCCCATAGGCCTAGATGAGCGTGTTTGGACATACGGACGCCCTCACCGTATCATTATCGCACCGTAAATGGGCGACTCTGGCCAGAGGGCCAGAATAGGAGGCACGTGCAATATAACGACATCGTTAGTCAGGTGTCAAGGTGTATGTGGTAGGAATTGGCTCGTAGTTGTCTCAAAAAAAATATTTCCATTGATAGATCGAATCACTTCATAAGATTGTTTGCTAGATTTTGATTCTCAAAAAAAAATATTTTATATAAAAAAGTTATATAAATAGAAATATGCTTCAAATTTTTTTGATATTTCTGTGGACAAACAACTTCAATACAATACATTTTAACTTAATACACTGAAAAAGAATTTATGAAAAAAAATAATTACTATTGGAAAAGGGAGACCAGAATCAAAATCACTAGAAACCAGCCTACGTCGTTTTGTGTGCTTACGTAAAAAAAGCGAGAAACATTCCGGCTCTGATCCTGTCGCCAGGAAATTTGTTTGGCGCGGTTTCTAGTGTTTGGTGACTAGAACGGACGTGTTTCTCTATTCCAAACGGACCTTAGTCGTTACAAACTGGAAACAAATTTCGTTTGATACATACTTGTCTTCATATAATTAACTATGAATATGATAGTACTTTCTACGTTCTAAATTATAAGATATTGTTTTTTTCTAAATATATTAGTTTACTTAACTAAAAAATAGATAAATCATCTTATAATTTAGAATAGATGGAGTACTATGTAGTACTTCACCATCTAAATTAATTTCTTTTGGGGCTGGTTTTGGATCTACACAATGATACAGTGCAAACCAAAACAGAAGGAACTGTATTGTCTCCTCGCTTCCGATCACACAGGTAGGTCTAGAACTTATTTGTTTAGAGCATTGTTCATTTTTATTGGGTTCTTTGTAAGAGTATGTTCAACTGAGTTCAAGTTCTTTGACTTGACATGGTTACTCGTAATTCTTTTTTGATTTACTCCAAAATTTAATGTTGTTGTTCTTTTAGTGGTAAGTGAGATATCCCTCGATAGTGAGCCGTGTGTGCGTGTACAAATGTCTGCTTATGTATTACGAATTGCAAAAAATGGAGGAGTAAAAGAAATGGAAAACAGCACAAGAGTTCTAGTCCCCCTTGGATGGAGAAGAACGACATGGGACCCAAACCCTGGAGAGCTCATGACACCACAAGTGAGAGATACTCGACTCTATGTGGAGGAAATCAAAGCCGTAGCATAGCAAGACCAGCGACCACACAATTATAGCCAAATACTACTAAAGCTTTTGAACCCACCATGCACCACAAATTTTTTTATGGAAATAACAAGCGGGAGGACAAGGAGTCTCCGTATGATATACTCTCTTCCTTCTAAATTATAAGTGATTCCAGCTTTCTTAAATAGTCAAAGCATCTCAAGTTTGACCAAAATTATAGAAAAAATTACAAAGAATTCTGACACCGACTAATGCAATTTTTTATATTTGATAAAACAATACCTATTTGATGTCATAACTCTTTGTAATTTTCTCTATAATTTTCACTCTAAAAAAGTTATGATAACTTATAATTTAAGATGAAGGGAGTATTAATCACATATGCCGAAACAAATTTGGTAATGGAGGGTCGTAGCCCAAGAAGGCTTGTGCCAAGGATTACTGAGTTACAGTAGAATGGGAGAGAGTTTACACTGAGTAAGTTACACCAATTATTACGTGCGATCTGCATCATGTTGCTTGTCAACTTCCTTTAAAAATCACTAAACAATGAAAATAAAATTTTTATTCTAACTCCAAACCATTTAAATTCCAGCTCAAAAAAAGAATCCAATAAACGTCTCTAGTCATGTGTTATAAAACATGTTGCCAGCGATTAGGACATTTCCCTCTCCATCTCTCATGACCGACATAGTAGATGAAAGTAAAACACATAGACACAAGAGATAGGGAGATTTCTTTATTTCTGTGAATATTGGTGATTATAATATAGAGTTCCCACACATATATATAGTCCTGTTAAGGCCTAAGAGTTTGGTAAGAGCCCACATACAAACGGACTAGGATTATGATTTCACCTTCTCCTTTTCTTCTAGGATAGAGTCCGTATGTTTTACAACACTCCCCCTTGGACGATTACCACGATATGCACATGCCTTATTAAAAACTCCATCCGAAAATTCAGTGGGAAAAAACGGTTCTTAGATAAAAGAGTACATCGTATTCGTTAATTGCATTGCACATGTTGTCTCATTAAAAACCTTGCGTGAGAAACCTTCAAGTAAAAACTCACTTAGGAAAAAAGAGTACAACATTTAACCTTCTTGGTCATGTATTCTTTATGAATAGGTATTTATCTTCATGATCTATGCATAAACTTCAATGTTTTAGCAAATATGATTTACATGATCTTTGTAATTCTAGTGGTTTTAATTATATTTGTAACACCCTAAAATTGGCATGGTTTTAAAATAGGAGAAAACGATTTAATTATGCATTTTATGAGTATTTAAATTTAGAAAAATAATAACTTTGTTAAAAATAAAATCAAATATAGGACTATATACATGTATGTGCATCAATGCTGCTGCATGGTATTTTTATTTTTGTATTGTGTGATTTGAAATCAAACTTCAAATTGAGTTAAATTTGTACTTGAAAATTGGTTTGGTAAATTAGAAAAAAAGAAAAGCTCTCTCTCTCTCATCCCCTTTCGGCCTATTGGCCTAGCTCCCGCTCGGCCTGGTTTTTTGCGTGGCCGCTTTCCTGCTCGGCCTGCTTTCTCGCTGTGTCGCCCACGCTCCTCTCTCCCACGTTCCAGCAGTCCGCAGCAGCCCATCGCCCACGCCGTTCTCTTTTCCTCTTCCCACGTGTGTCGCTGATAGACGGACCCCACTGGTCAGACCTATCCTCTTCCTCCCCACGCAACACCGGGTCGGTCACGACCGCCGGCGCCGCCTCCGACTCCGCCGTTGATACGCCTCGTCCTTGCCTTGTGCCTCAAGCTGCTTCCGACCATATATACCGGATGCCCGCATCGTACCGCTCCCATCCCAAGCTTCGAAGCTGCCTCGCCTTGTCCCGAGCTCACAGTACCGCCGCTATCCCTAGCCGTCGCCACCGAGTTTAATCCACCGAAGCCGTGCGCCACTTCCATCTGCTCCGCGCCTTGGTAAGTTACCTAGATGAGCTATCCGTTCCTTCCTCTCTCTTCCGGTGTCTTCGGCTCGTGAATCCGTGGCCGGTAGGCCGTGTTCCCCATGCGCCGCTCATCGCCGTCAATGACGTCACTGCCAAGCTCGCCGCCGGCCACATCGGCGTTTCCTTTTCCCTCCCGTCTAATCTGAGCCGTCTAGATTCAATCCAACGGTCCAGATTCACCCGTACCCCTTCGCCTGTCATATTTGCTAAAGAAACCCTCAGGTTTTTAATTATCAAACCCATAGTCCAAAGTGTATTCAGAAAATATGTTTTCATCTTTTGAAAACATAGTTTCTTTTGGATTAGATTCAAAATATGTTTTCATCTATTTACAGTTTTACCACTAATCTTGTTTTAGCCATAAAATTTTTGTTTTAACTTTGATTTAGTCCGTTCAAGTTGCGTTAGGTTCGTAATTGAGTAATCTACATGTTCATACTACTGTTAAGCATGTTTTTAACTTTTAAAATTCGAGATTAGATTTAATTTATTATTTTAATAAAGAAAATCTTGTTTAATTCATAACTTCTTCGTTTTAGCACCGATTTTCGTGATCTTTGCGTCTATGTGTTCATCGCGAGACGTGGATTCTTTTTTACAAAATTTTCATCTTGAATTTATGTTGTTGGTGTACTGTTCTAATCTATAGTCATTGTTTACTATGCATGATTGCTTCTGGATGCTTGTATGTTGCTGTGATTATCGAGTATAGAAGGTGAGCAATTCGTGGGCGATCAAGAGTACTACTTTAACGAGCATGATCAGTAGGAGCACTTTGTTCAAAGCAAGTATAGTATGGGATCATCCTTGTTTCCTATCAACTTTAATACATTTAATTCATATTTGCATGTGTCAACTTGATAGGGATTCCCTAGAATTAAACTTATACCTTGTCTCCTATTGGATATGTATTGGGTAGCTTTGCTAGTACTCAATTAAACCATGATCTTGTAACTTGACTAATGGTATATGCAATAAACATTAAAATATAACTTTTTAGCAACTTGGAAATAGAGGGCTAGAGTATTTAGCTACTTTCTAAATGCTTCAGATTCCTCTCCCTAAGGACTTATATGTAAGTGATTATTCGGGACTTATAGTATAGCTGTGAGGGCTACATGGCTCTGGCTTTAGCTTGGTATGAGGACCTTTTTTAGCTTGTTAGAGGTTACCTTTATTGGCATAAGAATGGCTTACCGAAACAGGTATAGGACAGCCTCTACTCTTATGTGTATAGCCGTGATGAAATTGTGCCATTCGACAGGGGGGGTTCCTATATCTGTTTGCCGAGTGAATTTAATGGCCCTAACTTGTTAGATGAACCTTTGAAAAGCTTTATAGTGACCCCTACCTGCTCACCTTAAAAGTGTTTTGGGAGTAATTAACCCGGACATATGGATATCACGACTCACAGTGAAAGTGTACAACCTCTGTAGAGTATAAAACTGATATATCAGCCATGCTCATAGTCCCGAACGACCTTGGAACATTTACGGAATAGATGATCACTAAGAATTATCCATTTATGTTATTCGTTATTCTTGTTTACATTGATCATTGTTTTACTTCGGGAATAAAAGCAACTTGTTGCTACTCTTATGCTAAAATTATGATAATTAAAAGCTAAATATTGTTAAACCTGTGTCAAGCATTTTGAGCCTCATGAACCACATGTTACACTTGTTGAGTACGACACG